GGGGTTTGGTGTGGAATGGGAGGGAAGGAGGAATGGAGGGGAGGGGTGGGAGAGGAGAGGAGGAGGAAAGGAGGGGAGGGCTGGGAGGGGAGGGAAGAGGAAGGGAGGGAAGGGGTTGGAGGGAGAGAGGGTTGCACTAGGGGTGAGGGCCACCTTGTAGAGAGAGAGTCTGACGAATGCAATTGAGAAAACTTTTGCAAAACGGGCATGAGTTGATCTGTCTTGGATGGCATTTTGGGGTTTTCCAGTACTAAGAAGGATACCAGTCAGGAAAATCAAATGGGGAAAGTTCCATTTTAAGAATGACAAGTCAACAAATTTTCCAAAAAGCCCATTTTGTAATTTGGTGTGCAATAATTTAGACAGTTCCATGAATTTATCACTCCCACTTTCAGTATGCAGCATCTTCATATCTAGTGATCTGTCTAACTAGGGTAAGAGCACCCAATACGTGGTCTGGTCCACTTGGTCTGATTTAATGGAAAGAGTACTCATAGAGCCCAGCCATTATGGCTGTGCAGCTTTTCCTTGCATCTTGCTTTGGTCGGATGTTATTGCCTTTGCCACCGTGCCAGCCTACTCCCATCCTCCGACCTTTGCCCATATCTATGATTCTATTCACTCAACTCGTTGATCAACTGGCCTCATAAGCACTATGTGTAACTTCAAGGTATGGCAGTTGACCAGGTGCTCACTATAGAGGCTTCGAAAAATCGTCTGACCTGCATCTTTCTGTTTATGATAATTCCTCTGCAAAGAATTTGGACCTTTGGGAATTATGGCTGGTCTTTTCCTGAACAGTGCACTGATTTATTATGCATCTTCAAAAAATAAAAAATTCTTCAAAAAAATACAGTGCACTGATACAGAGGGTCAGCTCCTATATCTGCCATTGACATGATATCACTATTGCTCTTGAAAGGGTTTTTATTTATTCATTTTGGAACCATTTGGTATCTCTTCCATTCCCATATTGCTAATGTTCATCCTTCTATTTTTGAAACATCATCATCATAATCATTGTCATCCGAACCTTAACCCAACTATTTGGGGTTGGCTACATGAATCCTGTTCTGCCAATTGGATCAGGATTCATAATAGGAATGCGGCAAAAGTTTTCTGCTGGCTGCCAACCTAACACAACCCTTCTCCTTCCTATTTTTGAAATATAGGGCTCATTTTTTCCTTTTGTTACCTATTAGTTTTCTTGTCCGGTTTTGATAGATTATTTGCTTCTTTTTTTGCCATTCTAGGATTCTAGCTTCAAAGGGCTCCCTTTAGATTCCTCATTTAACATAGTATCTTCATTGCTTATAGGATTTTATCTTGGAGTTTTCTAGGTTCTTACACCTTTGCAAATTCCATAATGTTTCCTTTCATCTTTTTTGAAATTGTAAGGACTAAGCTGGATATTTTTTCCTATTTTTCTTATTTTGTTCTATTAAATTTCAGATCTGGGTTTGGTAGATTGTTAATTATCTATTTAGGTGAGCAAGTTCTCTAGTTGACTATTTTTAGATATTGCCTCATTTAATGAAGTTTCTAAGTATGATAAGGGTTGCAGGATTCAAAGATGATATTTCAAGCCACCCAAGTACTTTAATGGAGAGAGGCAAGCCAGGGGGCGTGATCAAACATTGCAACATTAAACCAGAAGATTCTCGACTGGGAAGCCCCAATGTTGGAGGGGAAACTGATAAAGGGGCATTCGAGTCTATTCCAGAGGAAAGAATTCCTTCAGTTACTGGAAAGAGGAAAACCAGAGGGAACACATCAGAGGAAGATATTTTCTTGAGAAATGATACACCTGCCATAGTTGATTCATCTTCATCTAAGCTGTCATTAAAGTTCAAATTAAAGAATCCTAGCCATAGTTTATGGGGTCCACAAGGGGATGGAGATGAGAAGAATTCAGTCAAAGGGCAGAGGTCAAAGAGAAAGCGACCAATTTCTCTAGCTGAGAATGGGTCATTTGTGCCTAGGGATGATCCAATAAATGAAGTGGGTGATCCAATAAATGAAGTTTTGGATGCCAACTGGATATTGAAGAAGTTGGGTAAAGATGCTGTTGGAAAGAGAGTTGAAGTTCATCAACCATCAGATAATTCTTGGTAAGATCTGTCTCAGTTTTCTTTTCTTCCTGGCCATGTTTTCATGAAGTGTTTCAGAGACGAGGAAATTGATATATGAAAGAAACTCCCTTTTGTTTTGGGGGCTTAAACCATCTAGCTAGATGGCAGGCTAGACTCGACCATTTTTTCTTTTTCCTTCTACATTTACAAATGAGAATAAAATTGTCCTTTTGCACTCTGCCTCGCACATGTGGTTCGGGGAACTAGTGTTGTTATTTGAAAGGATGGTTATATAAATTTGGGCCCATGTGGAATTCTTATGACCCACCTTGTGAAAAATCCCTTGTGGATTATTAATTTGGGAGCATAAACGGGCTGTGAAAAATCATGGTTCCTATGGAAGGTTGATGGCAAGAGAGGGGAACAACAATAGGCAGTGGCACAAATGGTGGGCCCCACACTCTCTCCATCGCCATCCATCTTCAAAGATGATGACCCTAGTGGGCTATGAATCCCAGAACCCATGAGATTTATGGTGTTGCTTTCTCTTAAATCTTTCTTGGTTGCTGAGCATTGCATGTTGCAGGCATGAAGGCGTGGTGACAAACATGATTGAGGGGTCTTCAACTCTCTCTGTTCAGCTAGATGATGGGAGGGACAGGACTTTGGATTTAGGGAAGCAAGGCATCCGTTTCATCTCACAGAAACACAGACGTTTGAGATAGTATTCTCTTCTAAATTTTTAGATATAATTTTTATTTTTTTAGGCCTTTTTTTTAGCATCAAAGAGCTGCTCCTCAAGGGCTTTCATGGGCCTTCTTTTGTAAAATCAAGTTAAGAGCTCCTGTTGGTTTGTATATTAGAGAATGGTGTGGGTCTCCTGCAGAACTGCCTTCTTCTCAATTGTTTCCATGTACTCGCCCATTATGTAATCCCCCATTACAAGAAGTACCCCTGTTACTCAATACTGGACAGTTAGCTGGGATACCTTGGACGTTGTGTTGTGGCCTTAGCCACCAAGTCAAGGGGCCCTAGTCCGTCGGACTTTCTTTTCTAAATGGTTGGGGTTTTGGTGGGTCACTCAACGCACCTATACAAATGCAGTCGTTTTAGGAAATCTATCATGGAGATGGCTTTTAGACTCAAACGTCCCTCATAGAGATGAATTTTAGACCTGAAATTTTACCTGTCAATAATCTCAACCACTCAGATCAGAGTTTGAAAAAAAAAATAGATTATGAACATTAAACAATACCTACTTTATTGTTATTGGATTGTTCACTGTTCATGTTTCGTCACCGATCTCGAGTTCTATACTATTTATTTGGCTGCAAAATCATGCATCCAAAATAGAGACGCTTGAAAGACTTATAAGTTCCTGAAGGGAAAAGTTTAAGGTTGCAAGCTTAAAATGTAGAATCACATATGCACTTCGAAAATCTGAATCACAAATGCACTTCGAAAATCTTATCAGAAATGTTGTTTTAATGTTGAAAAATCCTCTAATCGACCGTCTTAACATCGCATCGAGATCTATGGATATAAAAAAAAAACAGAGTTTTTGAGTTTAAAAAATAGTACATCATGTAACACAATCATTTAAACTGTCAACTTTCAAGATTTTCATATATTTATATATCTATTTGATTTTAACCAGTTTTTGAATTTAATTTTTTATAATTAGATATGAAAATAGATTTTAAGATAGTCTTAAGAATTTTTTACAATAAAATTACATGTTATGATAAAATTAGGAGGTGCGCTTTAATTAAATTGTTTAAAGTTGCAACCTTATAGAAACTGTGCCCTCGCTAAATAATTTAAATCCACGTCCAAGATGGATTTTTGGCAGGTGATTGTATTTAATAAGTTCTCAATTAAACTTTTCTAAATTTACGTTTGTTGACGTGTAGACCTAATGACTCTCACATTGATTAGAGAGGAGACAACTGAAATAAGGGGTTGTTGGGTGAGCGAGAGAGAGATTTCGGTATTCTACACCATCCATGGTAGAGTGAGGAAAGAAAGATATTACCATTTATCATTTTTGACCTACCTTTGATACTTAACAGATTACAACTCATAAGCGCTCAAAAAATGCAAGTTTGCTTTTCTTTTACATTGTTATAGAGGTGGAGGGGGTAATTCCAACAAAAGCCAAAACCCAACACAATCTTCTGAATCCAAACTGTCCTGAATGGCAAGAAAATGTAGGCCTCCACAAGCCCTCTTTGCTGCTTCCCAAGCTTCAGATTCCTGTCTTGTGGCCGCATTCTTCTTATAAGAAGCATACACATACCTAGTGGAAACCCCAACTGTGAGAATCAAGCACCCTCGATCTATATCAGCCTCTACCGAACAAACCTCCAACCCGTTCATCCAAGCTGATCATAACTCAAAAACCCACTAGTCAGAACACGAAAACGCTCATCAAATATTTAGTTTTCATTTTCTTAATTCTTGTTCTCTTTCAAGCTTTGTGTGGTGTACATTCATGGTTCATCTCCATGTGCATCTTGACAATAGAAGTGGATGGCCTGCATGTGTATGGCAGACCACATAAAAGATGTACTTTTTCAATGGACAAAGAATTGGTATGAATCATAGTTGCTGGGATCTCCCAACATAAGTGGCAATTTTGTTCTGGCGCTCTGCAAAAAGGGATCTTCACAGGATCTCGCTTTTAAAATTTGTGGATCAAGATCCCCACTGTTAGGGATCCCTATTTCTAAAGTATAGTTGCATTGCTTGCTGCCTATAAATAAAACGTTCCCTATTTTAAAGAGTATATAGCTCAAAAGATTAGGATCAAGATCCCCAAAAGGTGGGATCTTGATCTTGACATTTGGGGATCTAGATCCCTAACATATGCATTCCACGAGTAATGCTCCTAACCATATGGATCTTCAAGCATTTCACAATCCCCCGATCTTGATCCCAATCCCAATCCTAGACCTAGTCTTGCTCCTGATCCCAACAACTATAGTATGAATGCCAAAATTATTTTCTTCTGAAGAATTTCTAAGCCAAAATAATGAACTAGAAAAATTCATGGGCTTGTGAATAAAAATGTCGATGGGACAAGAAAGCAGAAATACCACCTAATGCATTAAGTGCTTGTTTGCATATTCTGATGAAGATGGGTTTATAGTGGTTTTGATGTTTAAATTGAAAACCATTAGGCATCATATTTGCCTACTTCTAAACCTCAAATGGAGTATGATATATGTTCCTTTGAAGGAGCATCCACCATTTGTTCCCAATGATGGACGGCAAACATAAACTCAACCTGGCTCAATATCTTGGTCGGACCACTTTTGTTGACATCTCTTTCAATCATTAGGAATGCGGGGTGGATGTCATTTGAAATACCATACACCATACTCCATTGGGTTGGTATAACCCTCCAAAGAAAAAATTTGAACTTTAGAAGTCCTTCATAAGCAAATATGGGAGGATGCATATAATAGTTGAAAAAAACGAAGAACACATTAAGCATGCTTGATGTCACATACAAGAAAAATATTCTACTCTGCTAAAAAGATTCATATTGAGAATATACCCTATGATTTTATTTTTTTCTTTTCTTTTCCATATTGTTGGACATCAAACTCAGATATACAAGTACAATTTAGTTTTTTTATTTTTTTTTAAGGCATCAAAGAGATGAACTATTTAACTTTTTACTAATTTCTTGTGATTTAATTTTGAGAAGTCCTTCAAAATACAGATGATCATGAGTTGGAATAGTTGAAAACGGGTAAAATTTAAAATAGTTCGATAAATTTCCCTTTCTCTTTTTATTGTTTTACATTTCATGGAAATTCTACCACAACTGAACAATGTTTGGGTGCATTCTCTTCTACAGTGTAACAGAACATATACCTGCCAATGGTTTGGAGCGTGAAGATGCAACAGCAAGTCCTGGCACTAATGTGCTATCTTCAATGTCAATTCCTAATAGATCCAGATCAAGTCCAGCACCAAATGCAAATCTTTTTTCTAATGTCATGATTTCCTCTTGAACAGCTGTGAAGAGAAAAAATAAGATTGTAAATGCCTGGTTTTTATGCAGTATAGATAAGGAAATGCATAAGACTACCAGAGTTCAATATCCACGAAACACCCAAGGGGCAAGGTTATGAGAAACATTTGCAATAAACATATCTGGTTCTGTATAGAGTGACCCTTTTGGGTCACCATACTTTTTGTACAATCTATAATTCAGTAATGCAATTATAGTGAACCTTCACAAAAAAAAAGAAAATGACCCATTTGCTAAAGGTGAAGTGTTTTATATGATAGTTGAATTCTCCAATTGACTTAGGGGGTAAATGTTGTCCTTCTGAAGCCAGTAAGGACTAGAGAAAATTGCAGAATTGATTTGAGACATGACATGAACTTTTCAATAAGGGCTTAAAACATAGGAGAACAACAATAATGAAATGACCATTAAAAGATACATAGAGTAATTCACTTCACAGCAGACGATTTAATTTTTTTTTGAAAAAAAGCTATACATTTTAGCAGGGTGATGTTTCATGAAAACCTCAGTAATGCAATTATAGTGAATCTTCACAAAAAAAAAGAAAATGACCCATTTGCTAAAGGTGAAGTGTTTTATATGATAGTTGAATTCTCCAATTGACTTAGGGGGTAAATGTTGTCCTTTCTGAAGCCAGTACGGACTAGAGAAAATTGCAGAATTGATTTGAGTCATGACATGAACTTTTCAATAAGGGCTTAAAACATAAGAGAACAACAATAATGAAATGACCATTGAAAGATACATAGAGTAATTCACTTCACAGCAGATGATTTAATTTTTTTTTTAAAAAAAGCTATACGTTTTAGCAGGGTGATGTTTCATGAAAACCTCTCTCTCTCTCTCTCNNNNCTCTCTCTCTCTCTCTCTCTCTCTCTCTCTACTACTACTCTACTACTACTACTACTACTACGTACGTACGTACGTACGTACGTACGTAC